GCCAAGAAACCAGGGCCTGAATTTAGCTAGCAACCAAGCAGTAACATAGGATATGGATAATACTTTCCACTAACTGGTCACAAAAACGACAGGAACAACTGGTGGTTAACCACGGTGGTATCGCAATTCTCCGTGGTCTGTAAGGATTTCCTGACTTTCCTCCTGCTGAGGCTGAGAATATGTTCTGTAGTTTACGGAAGAGATGCAACCCTTTGCCTGACTTCAACCAGATTAAGAAATCTCTACTGCTGAGGTTGAGAATTTATTCTTCGCAGCCACATCACATCTTTGAGGATTGTTGAGTGGGTGCTACTTCGCAATCGTCTATAAACTCATTTCCCTTTAAACTACAATTATAATACTGTCCGGTGGTGATGTTGGCCAACGCTTCTAGGCATATCGAGCAATAGCGAACCGACCCAAAAGTAGTGTCATATAAAAGCGAATTTTACGAGGGTGGATTGATAAGTTTCCGGCCTGACCAAGAAAAACAAGGTTTTTAAAAATTTTTTTTTTTTATTTCTCAACATAATCTCCTCCAAGGCTGATACATTTCTCATAGCGGTGTTCCAGTCTATTAATGCCATCTCTATAGACTGATTCGTCAAGCTCCTCAAAATAACCATTTACAGCTTCGATTACTTCTTCATTGTCCGCAAATCTCTTACCGCCAAGCCATTTTTTGAGATTAGGGAACAGAAAATAGTCACTCGGGGCTAGGTCTGGAGAGTAAGGAGGGTGCGGCATCAATTCAAACTTTAGATCGTTGATTTTAGCCGTCGCAACGATTGACGTGTGCGCTGGTGCGTTATCGTGATGAAACAAGATTTTTTTCTTCGCCAGATGAGGTCGTTTAATTTTCACCTCGTGGCTCAAACGTTGCAATAAGTCTGCGTAGTATTGACCAGTGATAGTATTACCCTTTGCAAGGTAATCAATGTATATAATACCTCTTGCATCCCAAAAAACAGTAGCCATAACCTTGTTCGCCGAAAAAATTGTTTTTGCCTTCTTTGGAGTTGGTTCCCCTGGTCCAATCCACTGTTTAGACTGTTCTTTGGTTTCAGGAGTGTAGTGGTGGACCCACGTTTCGTCAACGGTTACGAATCGACGCAAAAATTCGCTTGGATTACGCTTATACAATGACAAATTTGCGGTAGAAATGTTTTTTCGAATCAATTTTTGGTCGACTGTTAGCAAACGCGGCACCCATCTTGCACAGAGCTTTTCCATATGCAAATGTTGGTGCAAAATATGTTGCACACGTTCATATGACATCTTACAGGTCTCAGCTATCTCACGCACTTTCAATCTGCGGTCTCCCAGCACTATTTGATGAATTTTTTCGATCATATCTGGAGTTGTGACCTCAACGGGGCGTCCTGAGCGAGGCCCATCAGAGGTGCTCACACGACCCTTTTTAAACTCGGAAACCCACTGCTTAACGGTTGAATATGACGGGGAGGATGTCCCCAGTGTTGAGTCCATCTCTTTTTTAATTTCCTTCGGCGTTAACCCCTTCAAATAAAAGTATTTGATGACAGCACGATTTTCCTGCTTTTCCATTTTTACGAAAACCACAGAGGCGTCTTGTTCAGCGTGCTGTCAAACCTACACTAGCAAGGAGATCGGGCTGAAACTATAGCTACAAGCTATCCAAGGATGGTACTATAGAATGTCACCTCAAGGTAGGCCTAGTGGCGTCATCTCTTGGTTAGGCCGGAAACTTATCAATCCACCCTCGTATATATATTTGAAATGTTTCCATCATGTCACGCTAAAGGCTTTTTACACAATGTTTTAGCTTGCTTACTTCATTCCTGCCATTGTCTCCATTATTTCCTCCCAAAGAGCTCCTGCCAACCCACTCGAAGCCCCTTCTGTTGAAGAAAGGAAGGTTGCTGATTGCATTGCTTCCTCATCGGTGGTAGTTACCCTTTCTATCAGGTTACGTAACTCCTTATGTTCTTATAGCTAGTCCAAAGCGACCTGATACCTGTATTTGGTAACATCCCTCCTCTGAAATGCTGCTTTTTCAAAGTTTTCTAAAAGATTGGCCGCAAACACCGTCATGGGGTCAAAGATAGGATACTCCAAGAATTTACGATTTGTTGCTTGTGATGTTCGAGCAACGAAAAAGTTTCAATTTGACGTAATAATTTTTCGTTATTTTTGACCATTGTTTCTTTCTTCTGATCTGGTTCTGTTATCCATTCAACGTCAGGCACTTTTTGTCTTAAGAATATCTCGTCGTCATATCCGGCGGTTAGAAGATTTCTTGTCGACGACCCAGTAACGATCCACAGATCTGATTGCTCCTCTAGGAGCACCTGTGAACCACATAAAGGAATACATATATAAAAAGAAATACAAAATAGGTTGGTAATCTTTCCTCTTCTTGCTGCAGTCTTTTTCCAGCATCCCTTAATTTTTTCTAGAAAATAATAGCAACTATGTTTGCCAGATTATTGTAGATAATTAATAATAACCTGCTATAACAAAATAGCATTGTATTTTTAAGCTATGAATACAATTATAAGAAGCCTCGTATATTCAAAGAATTTCATTATTTTAAATAGAAAAGTTTATTTTTTTATATTTTCATAAATTGCACTGAAGTGATACCTAGCTATCTTTTCGATTTTATTTAACTGTTGTAAAGAAATATATAATTCACATACGGAAATCGTTATTGCAGCAAACTGACTTCATAATCTTTTTGCTGGCTTCCGGTCAATACCCTTTCGTTTCGTTTTACTTTCTGATTTTTGTAAATAAAATACGATTTTGTATTATTCTTGTACGAATTTATACAGACCCAGATTCTAAGCGTTTGTACTTCAGTACAAGTAACAGTTAGATGGCAAATTTTCAAAGAATGGTGTTTTGCGTCATTCACCAAATTGATTCGGTAGGATTCTATATATCAACGCACAAATTAATTTGTACATTAAATTGAAATGTGTGAATCCTCAAAGCGTCTGTTGGTGCGAGAATCTGTTTACGGCATGTTGGTGCGATATTGATGCGGCATCGTAGCGCAACGAGAAGGGGAAAAAGGTTTTGCAACGTATCGGAAGAACGCGAAAAAGAAAAAAACTCGGTCTCGACACGTCGAAGGGACAACACGCACAATATCTGTTAACCTTAATAGAATTAAAGTTAAGTTATTTTAAAGTCAGAATTATGTTTGAGTTTGTTCATTTGTTTTTGTTATAATAAAGTTGCTATATTTCCACGTCACGAGTTTCCCTAATAGTTAGGGTGGTCCTTCGAATAAAACAAAACGAAACAAATAAGCAAAAATCACGACAACAATAAACAGCGTCTACATAAATATGCTGTCATTTCTATTAGGCAAATCAATACTACAATATTACACACTTGCTAACTTCAAAAGCTAAACGTTTAACAGGCAAATGACTTGACAAAATGATATAATTAATGGTAAATACAAACAAACTGTTTGCAAGTGGGACAAACTGAAACAGTGAAAGAAAAATTTCAATAACTGAAGCTTCATCCTTTGAAAAATACGACGGAGTATAGGAAAAATCGTACAAATACTTTTACCCATCTTTTTAATGCATAAACAATGTAATAAAATAAGTCCAATAAAAGCAATTCACAACTTACTCACTCAATCTCCCACCAGTGGACTTTTATTTGTGGGGTCATATAGAGGCATTGGTATACGCGTCATCTATTACCACGGTAGATGAACTCAATAATGACATTACTAATGCCTTTCGTATAATTCGAACTACTCCCTGTATCTGGGCCAAAATTCGTAGCAACTGGGTACGCTGCTGTCAGTGTTGCATTGAAGCGAATGGCGGACAATTTCTACATTTTTTATAAAAGTTACGCTTTTCTTTTTTACGTTTACATTTTTTACAAGATCGAAGTGCATTCGGCTCCTTCCCCGGTTGGTACTTGTTACATCCAGACTAGATCAGCTCAGCGACGTTAGTCGCCTACATCCAGGCCCGTAATGAAACAAATTGTACGTTCAAATTTACAGAGACGAATTGCGTGCTCAATTGTCACTGGATTGATAAATTGTATAATACTTTTTTGTTGTATTTTGTGTCGGGAAGCCATTTTTTTTATTATTATAAATGAAACACCCTGTATACAAGGTGCGTCGTACATTCATTTTGACAAGTATAAATCCTTGTGAAGGCGTATCAAACAGTGGGAAAATGATGTACTACTGTATTTAATTAAAAAATAAACCTGCTTCTTCAGATTCATGATACGATTTTTAGTACGATTGCGTACTTTCTATTGCCTTTGGGAAATGTATGCTATACTACTGTTACTAAAGAAAATGGACAGAAGAATGAAGAATTCAGTGTAGGTGGTAACCCAAAACCTTCTTTGTAATTTGTTAATTAAGCCAATCAATTACTATTATTGCAGAGAACTTTTTTAAATAAATTGTACCTGAAGTTGAGTGGAATAAAACGTATTTTTTTTAACTCTCTCTATTAGATATCAATGGTCTACGTTTAGGTAAACTTCTTTACTACCCAAGGCAAGTTTAACTGAATTTAAAATATTATGATATGAAATATTCTCAATTTTTTTAGCCACTACACACTTCCTCAAATGAATGAGAAAAAATTGTTTCTGTTGTCACACCCCCGCCGGGAATCGAACCCGGGCTCTTTGGCTTTACGCGCCAATGCTTTGACCACTAAGCTACGAGATAAAATATTATGATTTTATTACAAGATCAATAATACAAGCAAGGCTAATTTATAGACATTATTTTATTATGCGAGAAGTATTGCTAGACCAAAATAGGATGAACGGTGGCATAACTACGCCCTATGGTGCGCACTTGTCAGAGGTAATCTCCAGCTGATAAAGCGTTAGTCTGTTTCCAGCTTCTGTGAGTTACTATGTGTTCAGATGACCAGATGCTCATTAATTAGCCTAAGTTACAGCTTTAGTGTTATTTCGACGAATTGAAAGTAAATTAAATCATATTATTTTTTTTGTTAAAGTATATATATCACAGTAATATAAATATGTCTATTATTTGCACACACATATAATTTTACTAATTGTAAAAGTAAATGCAGTAGAGAATTCGCAGTAGTTATTTCGTAAACAGGGCTAGTTTGTACGTAACCGGTTTAAATTCGGGGATTCAAACTCCAGCGTTCTCGCCATTCTTTTCTTGCCGAATGGTGTTGCAGTGTTACATTTGCGCATCTTGCTTGATTATCCAACAACATTCATCCTATTCTGGTCAAGTAATACGTGATACTGTTTTCATTCATGTTAACCTTATATTTAATGTTCCTTCGCTGATAACTAATAGAAATAAAAATCAAAGCGCATATTTACTGTAGTGCGTGTGTTATTATTTTACAATAATTTAGCGTTTAAAATGATGGCAATAAAAAAAGTTCGAGAGGCAGAATCGGTTCAAAAACTGTTAGTGTTACAATTAATTTATTTCTAAACCTAGTGCTTTAGTCATAATCTGGTCAATACATGACACAGTACAGAAGCAATAATGTTTCTGTCAAAATTAGCTCATAAACGTATTTTTCTACAATTTTAACGCTTCTTCCCAAAATTTAATTCTTCTCCAATCTGGATTAACACCAACAGTAAGGTTTTCTCCAAATTCCAAAAAATTAAATTGATCTCGCTGGACAGGCTTCCACTCAACATTAATTAAATCTGATTCTTGTTTAGGGTTTGGATTCCCGTATTTAGCAAAATTTGTTAGCAGTGTAGTATACCTTTCGATAGCAATACCTTCTAAACTGTTCGGATTTATTTGAAGTGGGACAGCAGCCAGTCTTAACATGTAGGGTACGTCGTCACCATGACAAACACCTAAAGTAATATAACTCAATAAATAAAATCTTCGATAATTTATGAGGTTGGACCTGGTAATGTCAATCTAAGCATCGATTTCACAAAAGTAATCCTTCCTTCCAAAGAAAATCGATACAAATAGATATTTTCAGGTGACACTTTGATGCTTTCCTTTATTGCTTCGTATATTCCATTTAAAAAACAAGTATCAGTGTAAATCTGAAAAAATGTAAGTAACTATTAATAATTCTGTACATTATAATGCGTTACTACTAACTGTGAAGGCAATATCAATATTTTCCGTTGAGGGTTCTTTCCCGCCGTAAAAGTATTGTCCAATTTTGACACCAATTTCCTTGGATTTGGAAGAACCCTTAGTAAAGCCCAAATTAAATGGAACAAAATCTTCGTAATCTTTGATAAACTTGCTACCTGGTAATGCCAATAGCATACCTTCTCTGGATGTGTATCCAAATATAGTCGGTACTTGATTGAACTTTCCTGACTTAATTATATTTATGGGATGATCCAACAGAAAAGCTGGTTCTTTTGATGGTTTTTCGATCGTTGGAGCAAACATCATAGGTCCTCCAAATGCAAACTAAAATAAGTAAAAAAAAAACGCAATTTTAATTAAAGAATCGTACATAGACTTAAAAGCATAACATTATGTGCAAAGATACAAACAGTTACCATTTGCAGTTGAGGTTGCAAAAGCTCCTCAGCTGAAAGCTTTTCAATTTCATGTACAATTGCTTTCTCGTCCTGGTTTTGTATTCCTAATGCCTTAGCTAATTCATGTAATGGTTTAACATCAGGCGGAATTAAAGACCAAAATGATAGGGCAGAACCGCTTTGAACTATCGCTTGATTAAATAGACCTAAAAAAAAATAAGAAGAAATCTGTGAATAACTTAGGCGCCAAAGAATATTATTATTGTCTATTGGATAGTTAACTAATTAAAGTATTTCATCAAGTAGGTAAATAAAAAATTTTTTTACTGTTTTAGACGTGTATATTCATTACTTATAAAAAAATAAATTTTGTTTTCACTTCAGCGTTTTAGGAATTAAGATTAAGAAATAAAAAAAAATGTCAAATATCGAATTATGATGATAAATCTGGAAAAATGTTTTCTACCTTTTGCTAAAGGAGATAAGGTGAGAAAATGCACAGCACATCCACCTGCACTTACTCCAAAGATAGTAATATTATTAGGATCTCCACCAAACTTTGAAATGTTCTCTTTCACCCATCTTAAACCCATAACCATGTCCTTCATTCCAGCATTGCCAGGAATTCCCACAGATGGTTCATCAACTCTCAGAAATCCTAATGATAGAAGTCACACTTATAGCGTAAATGTTAAAAGTAGATTTGATTGAAAGACTATACCAAAGACTCCTAATCGGTAATTGAGCGTAACTATTATTACACCTTTCGTGATTAAATAATCAGGTCCACATTCGTCCGAGTGTCCGGAACCCACACAGAATGCTCCACCGTGGATCCAAACCATAACAGGCTTTGCTCTACCATTTGCCTCCCTTGGATCCTTGAGAGAAAAAATATGTGCCTAGTGAGAATCTAAAAATTTAAACGCCCACTGCCGTAGTTAGTTGTCGCCTGTACAGACGAATTGTTAAAGGTTTTTATAATTTCATATTAAAATTCATTCTTTTGTGTAGGAATTTCTTACAAAAAGTTAAGCTCTTGATCAGTACATTATAGAAACTGCCAATGAGGATCGCGGTTTCGTACTCCACAGGCAATTTCAATAAATCATCGACCAAATCCAAGCTGCTTCCTAAAGACTACTTGATGTTATATGAAGGTATGGGCAGTCCATACTCATCTACTAACTTATTCTATTAATTTTGGTAGTTCAAATCCTAGACAAGAGCTTTACGAAAGTTTCTGTCTAATAAACCGAATCCTTGACGCAGCTCTTGCACGTGATAGACATAATAAATTATTTAGGATATTTGGACGAAAAAAAAGTGTGTTTCTGTCCTAATGATTTTTTTAGTAAATCGCATACTGAAGCACAACATACCTTCATACGAAATCGCGATCCGCGTCTGGCAGTTTCGACAGAATACAGACCACATCGATTTATTTTGTTCGATTATGGTAACGTGTCTATCACGTTGAGGTTAGCTACGCCGGGATTCGTTTCAGCAAGTAGATATCCATATATTTAAATGGACCTTGTTCGAGCATACGTAATTCTAAAATGTAGCATCGTACTACAGATGGCGTTTACCGCGCCATTTGTGGTATTTTCTAAAACGCGCTGTTAAGACAGCAGGTAAAAGTTGGTCTGTGTTCTGTCGGAGCTGTCTGCGACGCACTGATGAGATCGGAAAGATCGAAATCGCGATCCGCATCTGGCAGTTTCGACAGAATATAGACCACTTCGAATTATTTTATTCGATACCTTCATACATACAATTGATTTTTCCAATATTCCTTTATTACCAATTTATATTTATGGTAATCTGACATAAAAGAGTTTTATGAGTAATACATTAAATCTTTTACAACATTGTCACATCTTTGTTAATTGGTAATTTCATTGTATGTATTCATAACCTGATATAGTTGGGACGATCAAAATTGGTAAAATCCGCAATGCATTATCTGTGAGAATGGACGTATCTTCTTTCTTGTTTCTACTTGGGACTGTAGTCATTTGTTGGGTTTGGACACACCCTTGTTAAATTAGGAAATGCTTCATTAGTAGTAATAGTAAGCGGTGAAGCAGATTACTCAGATACGTAAAAGATCAGGGTCGGCTTTATAACTGCATGGTTGGAATTATATCCTTAAACAAGCGCCTTTGCTTTCCTAAATTTCTGAGAATGCTGAACTTTCTTTAAAGTCCGATGCTGGCAACATGTTCAAATTCTGCTTGTCTGCATCTCTTTCTGTTACACATTAAGTGGTGTAATGTTATTCCTTTTTCTTAATTAGTGTCCACTGCAATTCCTACCTAACATCTCTCTCCTATGTTTACGATATTCCCTACAACGTCAACAGCAGCCGCTATAGTCTAGTTAGTAAGTTGAAAGAAGAAAGTAAATGTGACAGTTTTATTGCGGACTATGTCAATTTTGAACGTCCCAACTATAGAAAATATTATTTTATAAGGAATCCAAGACAGATCCTGTCTGTACTTTAGTAAACTTTACCTCTAACGTATAGACGTTCAAATACAGGCAATCCTCCGATCCAATAAGTTCCGGTTTCCGTTGAGCTATATCACACTGCACACATTTATCCCGATGCTCGGTTGCGTCTAGAATTCCTTTCCATGGTTCTGGAGGCTGCGGAGCCTAAAAATATACATTTGTTACAATTGATCACTGTCAGGAATAAAAACCAGGTGGGTTATAAGTTGATTTAATAATGCGTTGAATTTAACCCTACAAAAATTCAAAGTGTCTCATTGCTAATAATGATTAAGCACGATTAAGTACATGGAAATGGTATGATAAAGATTTCTAAAACATTAGAAAGTATTTTCTATTTTTTTAAGTTTACTTAAACTAAGACTTAACGCGATGACTATAAAAATCGGCAGATCACGCTCAGAAAAATTTTTTATTCTTTTAACTACTTTTTATGGAATATTTCTTAAATATACTTTGTTCTTTCACATAAACCTTGAATAATTCAAACTATTGCGGCAATATTTTGTCTACATTTGTTGTAGCGTTTATGGGACAATTAATAAATATACATATAGTACACAGGTCAACAAAAAAATATTTGTAAAAACTTTTTAAACTAATTTACCTAAATTTTATGTATTTTTGGATGCTGAAATCGTATTCGATATCAGTTTTTTTTTATCACCCATAATTTTCTCGCAATATGACATCAATTGTATATTTTAAAAAATAGGGAAAATTTTGATAAATAAAAATTAAAAAAATTAGTTCTTTATTAAGTAACAATTTTCTCTTACAAAAATAATAGATTACTAAATATTAGAAACATATTTTTTTTTTATTTTCTCTCTGTAAAGTTTCTTGCATGGCTTTTTCTCCGATGTGAAGCATTCTGTTGCTTTCTGTGAAGGGTCCAAGAGTAATCACCCATCACGTTTATATTCCACCTTCCTTGGTATCGTTTCTTCATTTCTTTGATGTCCTGATGAAACCGTTCCCCTTGCTTTTCACTCACATCACCTAAGTTTTCAGGAAAAAAGTCAAGATGGTTATACAAAAAGTGGACTTTAACTTTTATCAGACAACCAAAACTTTTAAAATTGTTTATCATATTAGATGTGATAAATTCATAATTAGCAACTTTTACATTGCCCAGAAACTTCGTCACAACTTCCCTAAATGATATCCAAGCCTCTCTTTCGTTTGTACTCATCGTTGCTTCGAAGTTAGTATCAATTTGCGAATATCAGACCCAACTAAAATTCCTTCTTTCAGTTTAGCTTCTGATAAATGAAGAAATTTTCTACATAAATATTTAAAACAATCACCATCTTTAGGCAAAGCTTTTACAAATTGTTTCATTAAGCCCAACTTAATGTGTAGTGCTGGTAAAATAATTTTTTTGGGGCCAGCCAAAGTTGTATGCAAATATTCTTCTGGTCGGGTGTCAAAGTTTTTCTTAAAGGTCATTGTTTTTTGGACCAAACATGGAAACTTTGTGAATCCCTTTTGTTGGCCAAGACGAATTGAGATAACTTTTAAATCTCCACACAGCATCCAATCATGTGCTGTATAGTTAATTTTCTCTAAAATTATATTAAATTTCTTTCATATGGACCGAATGAGCAACAAGCTAAATGACATAAGTATTCCCATTGTGTAATAATACACCTTTTAAATTTGTTTTTGATGAGTCTATAAAAAGTCTTCAATCTTCCTTTTTGTATTCAATACCAAATTCGTTCATCAGGCCGTCAATATCATAGCTGTAAACCAAATTCTCTTCCTGACTGAAAAATGTTCAGTAAACTGTTCAACTTTTGTTCTGTAATGATAAATACCTAGATATTTCATATTCCAATAAATGTTTTTCTTTTAATCTACAACCAAGCAATTCTGCTTTTTTCTTAGTCAAACCCAAATCTCTCACTAAATCATTTAACTCAGTTTGTGTAAGCAAGTGTTGATTTAAATTTTCCGGGGAATATTTGAATTCGTGATCAATTGATTGACTTTCATTAAATTCTGGACTGGACTATAAAACATCAACGATAGACTTAGGACGTTCCGGTCTATGTCCTACCGGCCAATTAACTGATCTAACGTTAAGATAAGTTTCTTATTTTTAGAATTATGTCCAGAAACATCTATGCTGCAAAAATAACAATCGCTGGAATGATTTTTTTGCTCTATCCATACCATGGGTACTGCAAATTTAAAAGCTTTCTTCTTTTTGTTGTACCATTTCCTAAGATCCTCGATACAAACGTAACATTCTTTATATGGAACCCAACATTGTCCCGATTACCGATTTGTACACCAAAGTATGTAAAATATACTTTTTTTGCAAAGTAATGTCCCTTTGATTTTTTTTATTTGCAAAGTTACCGCATATATAGCAAAAGCCGTTAGGAGAATTTTTACAACCACTTTTATCCATATTAAGCTGTGAATGTTAAAGCACATACATCAAACAATGCAATGTGATGTTTTATTAACTGGAAGAAAACAAAAAAATATGGAAAGTAGAAAGAGGAGACTGTGGTAAATATTAATTAAAAATTAAAAGGAAGACTCACCTCTAATTACCACAAAAAACTTTATGTTTCCCACGTATGAAGTGGGCGAAACACGTGTCCGCTCAAATAAAGTTTTTTGTGGTAATTAGGGGTTAATCTTCCTTTTAATTTTAAAAGAAAATATGCAATTTGTCAGAACCACCAGCCTGATTACATTTCGTATTATTGTCAACAATATAACATTAGAAAATACTGCCAATGTAAAAATATTTAAACGGTCAAAAATATTTGTCATACATTTTGGTTAATAAGATTTACTTTTATTTAATATTGAAACGTGAGAAAATGGAGGGTGATACGACTTTTTTGTTATCAGCTCACGACATTACACAGAAATTAATTAAAGTTACGTAAATACGTAATGAACCTATAACAGTTAACTAACGACCTTGTTCTAATGACATCATGCCTAATATTCTTTTCTATGCGATTAAAGTTCGATTTAATTTATTTTAAGTTAATAGCTCACAAACGTACTACACATTGGAAAAAGTGCAACATAATTACTTCTAATTTAACGAATAGGTTTGTTTTTTTACATTTGCATTGAAATATTAGGCAGTTTTGTAAGTAGAAAAGAAACAACTATTTGTAAAATTTTGTACGCGCACACTCAAACTACTGCAAGTATATTTTCTATACGTTTTCTTACCCGAAATCGAAGTTTTCCTAGAGGTGGTTTAGCATACGGAATTCCCTTAAAACTATAATAAATATCTCCTTTGTATGTCTTCTCCTTAATTCCCCTTAAAGCACCTTGCTCCACATTTATGACTATATCGCTCATTGTGATGTAAGTGTCTCAAAAAGTAATGGGTAACTAATACACACACGGCTTTTTATTCGACATGGGAGTTGAATAAAAACATAGTATCTTATCTTACATTTAAGTGGATACCAAGGACTACTTGTAGCACAATGCAGTTGGCGTAGTCCGCTTATTTACTTCACTCACTTTACGACGTAAACTGGCAATACTTAACGGAATCAGCGAAAATGAATACACAACAGAACTAGAATTTTATAAATATACATACAGTGCGGTCCATATGTATGGAGACCAACCATTTCAGGCGTAATTCTGAAATTTGAGGAAACAACACCGAAACAGATAGGGTGTGAGTTGTAATAACAACTTCGGAATTGTTGTGTAGATTTTTGTCGATTATTTCTGAAGTAAATCCATACATTTTCAAAGAAGTATGTTAAGGACCATAAAAATGTGCACTAATATCTTTATTTAGAAGGCTCCCTATCTCTATTATTGACAAGTATATACTTCGTTAACACTCTCTAGAGATGTGTCCTTCCAACGTCTTGGCCAAAATTGTAGGTAGTGATAAAAGAGCTCATTGTACTCTCGACTCTTATTCATTAAACATAATTTTTCGCACAGTACCTGCCAAAACTGATCCGACGGGACTTGAACCTTGACAAACCATGTACAAACTAGAATGAGTGGATCGGCTTGCGAGTTTCGATGAGTTAGGGAGCCGGACCATAGGTTTAACCATAATAGGCGGGTTCATAAAGAAAAACCAGACTAAGACAAGTCCCTGAAAGAGGGCAGCAGCTCTTTCAGTACTCAGAGTGGCACAGATCACGAGGATCGTTATGGCATTCTGATGCACAATACTGCGTTGAGGAAGGCAACGGAAAACCACCACATTATGATCCCGAGTAAAATGTACGTTACAAATTAAATGATGGCGTCCTCTCGGGTAAAGCACTTCGAAAGTAAACTAGTCCCCCTTTCGGATGTCCGGACGCGGACTACCTCGGGGGATGTCATCGATAAATGTAATAGCGGCAGGTATAATCCTTCACGAGTCGGAGCATGGAATGTTAGGACAATCAGGAAAGCAGGAAAATTAGAAAATTTGAAAGTTGAAATGAATAGATTAGAATTAGATATAGTAGGCATTACTTAAATCCGTTGGTTCGAAGTTGGAGACTTCTGGAATAGAGACTTTAGAATAATACATACAGGATCGGTGGAAGGTAATTTGGGGGTAGGAATTTGTAATGCGTAGGAAAGTAAAGCAAAATGCAGAAAGTTATGTACACACAAGCGATATGATTGTTATGGTTAAATTAAACTCGAAGAAGAAAAAGTAACAAAAATATTCAGGGGGCAACAAATTCAAAAGATTTCAGGCCAACACACAGAAACACTACTACAGATCCTTTCACAATAAGTCCAGGAGTCCACCCCGATAATCTCCATCTATTTTTACATTTGAGTTACCTAAGGTATATCAGGCACCAAATTGAAATTCTACTCAATTGACAATTACACCAATCCCTACTTATACGCCACAGAACCCTAAAAACAACCCAAATAACCTAACATCGAATCCATACGAATCAAACAACCAAATAACACAAACACCCGAATAACCCACACTACAAATAAATCAACCGCAATTACAAACGACACTAACATTACCAACCCCTCAAAAACCCCGCACTAATTCACCAAACAAAATTATGCAAAATACTACATTATTAAATGCTTTTGCGGAAACAAAGCAACCAGCTACCCCTAAATTTATACTACCACCGACGTTTGATCCAAGCTCGGATTCTGCTTCAACTTTTTTATCAAAGTACATATGATAGAATAGCTGCGTGTAATGGTTGGAAAGATACACATAAAATTGTTTATTTCGGAAGCTTCCTAGAGGGACCCGCTAATATTTGGTATAACAAATACACAAAAAATGAACAAAATAGGGAAAATGATTGGGAAAGAATTAAAAACGATTTCAAAAAAGAATTTAACGGGGAACAACTAATGTGTAAATTAAAATTTAAATTTCAAAATCGAAAACAACGCGATAATGAAGATTTAATAATGTACTATTATGATTTTATAAGTGTAGTCCATACGAAATAGACACCGACATGCCTTTTGAAACATTTAGGGACCAATTCGAAAATGAACTACAGTCGTCATTTGCAGAAACCTATTATCTATTGAGTAATGGTATCACAACTTTTGATGAATTTAAAAAATTAGTATTACGGTTAAGTGAAGTTAGGAAGAGTTTTAATCGATTGAATGACGGCCCAAACGTCACTTTTCACAATAACACCAACCCACGGACCAAGGTCATCTCAAGAAAATACAAGAAACCACGCATCCAGCAACAGAGGAGATATACGGCCGAGGATCCAGCAAAACAATCGAAATCCACACTTAAGACCACAATTTCGTCCCTGGAATGCGAATAATTATTATCCGGCTCCAACATCAAGGGGTAATTTTCACAGAAATTACCAAAATCAAAACAGGAGATATCAAGTAAACGGGGATCGATGGTCTGTCTGATCGCAATTAGTCGACTCGGGAACGCGAAAATTAAAAGTCTACCCTTAAGAGAGTAACCAGTGGGAAACTCAAAGTGTTGGTGACGCTACCTCCTGGATGATGATGATGATTGCAACACTCCTATCAATGTAAGTAAACTTCTTAACTTTTTCGGTGTATTGATTTACGCTCAGAGAAAGATCCTTTTTATGAACGTTTCTGTTCAATTCTCTATATCATTTTTTATAATAAAGTTGTTATTGTTTTTCAATCTTGCTTTTCTTGTCATCTTAATGCCTTACCCGTAGTCATGCCAAAATAATCAAGATGCATTATAATCAGGTAATTAAAATAAATAATTAACGAAAAAAACCAAATTAACAAAATACCGGCGTCATGTATGGTGGAAGCGCTGTTTCTGAATTGAGCGTGACAATATTGACGATCGAATGATTATTCAAGTGATTTTCTTGCGTATCAGGAAGTCATAGTCGTGGTTCGAAAAGCCCTCCAACGATTGCCGTTAATAGATGTTAATAACTCGGTATCTTAAACAAAACGAAAATGGGTAGTCAAATGGCTTAAAAATTATTTTCAGGAAAAATATTTTGTTTGGAAGTTCCTTAAGTTCGCCTATGGACACAGATTACAGGATGGCAAACTTCTATTTTGAATTTCATGCCGATTTGGATTCACGCAGAAGGCGGGTCTAGTATTCACGTGACGATACACGTGAGCAGTTCCACAAACGACACAAAACTGTAAGGAAACCGATTCCATTTTGGCTGCTTTACACATCGCAGAACATCTATACATTTTTTTGGAACAAGTTCTTATACTCGTATTTCATGTATTTGCGTTGTGCTTACCACTTACCAAGATGAAAACTTTTTACATGAGCTCTTTGGTTTGAAGATTTTCAGAAGTGATTGCTTCACACCTTACCAGTTACATTCAAATTCGACATCACTTAAACGTGTCTTTCATGTCTTTTGAACGTTTGTATGCATGTACAAATCAAATACAAAATACAATGGACATGAAAGTTGTTTTTTAAATATTTACTGGAATTTATTATAGAGGTTATGTACATTTTATGTTGTGCTTCTATGACCATAAAAGATAACAGGGATAATACCTGTACACATGCGCAAGCAAGGGAGCCAAAGCAGAATCGGTCCCACTAGCGTCTTGTGTAAACGACTGACGAAATACGCAAATAATAAACAATTAATATTGTACCCTTAACGGTAGTAGACTTCATCTGTAAGGGCTCGCCCTCATTGCGAACGCAAAACGGCACATTTCTAAATATAGGGAGCCTGAGTAAACGTACCAATTCCTTTTGCTTGTTATCCTTGAATATGTCATTATTAAAATCTATTTGAAAGTACCAAATTATATTCTGAAATTATATACTCATGGAGAGTTTGTACGTTAAATTTATTTTCATTTAATTCTAGCAACTGAAATAATATTTTGAGTACAACAGCTTTTCAGTGAAACATATTGACAAGGTGTTAAGGGAGAACTTGTTTACAGTTTTGTGATTACTCCGATTGTGACAATAAAACGAACGAAACCAATCATTTTATGTGTGCAGTTGTGAGATAAAAATTTATCCGGAGACCACTACGAAATTGCGTTGTTGAACTTCCGTTCTGCTAGAATGTTTTCAAATAAAACTAGTACCGAATTTGGTTTAATGCTTTTAGTAAGAAGGTTTCTTAAATACTAACTAGCAACTTTAAATTTACTTAAAACTAGAGAACAACTAGTAAAGGAATTTATGACCTAAACAGTTTAAGAAATTTTCCAAGAAATGTTATAAAGTTGAACCGAACAAAACAACAAAGACATTTCAAATGTAATGAAAGTAAACAATTACACTAGATTTAACTAAACGGAAATGTGTTTGAATTAACATAGTTGTAAAAAAGCCAATATAATTATTAGCACTAAACACCATGTATGTTATTATTAACAGTAGTAAGATTAACTTAATCAGTATAGAGAGGAGAGACGCGTGTATTTTGCAGTTTAGACGTATAGTTCAGGACTAGGCTAATTAAGTCTAAACTAGGACTAGACCAGTTTATTGCAAAAATGGGTTCTAGACAACATTCGTGTGCACAAAAAGTTATGGAAAATTGGTTATAAACAAATAGGCATTGGGAAATGAAGCTTCGTTAGTCTCTTTTTCGTTTTTCCTCTATACTAGTTTTAACTTTAGAAAACAGTTTCTAAATGGGTCATTCCATAAAAATAGGGTGATTTCTGAATTTAACTTGTCATAATAATAGTTAAAGTCCAATTAGATCGTCAATTGCTACTTGTGGTAGATATTTAAATCATTGTACCACAACTAATACCGTATTTTACAAGAAATTTAAGGTTTTACAATAATCGTCTAGGGACTAACGAGTATACCTAGGGACTAATGAAAAGGCTAACTACAATACAATTTAGGCATCTGGGAACTGACAAGTATAACTAGGGACTGGTGAGAATACTTACTACTTTAAGAAAACAATCATATACGTAAAGTTTTTCATTTATTTGTTATCAAAAATGTTATGCTAATCACAGTGAACCATAATAACTAAATTTTTAATACAAAATCAGTCGTTTACTTTTGTAATAATGTAC